GAGGAAGAGGAGGGGGGTCTGCAGGATCAGGCCCCTGGGGAGGGGGGGCGACTGTCCCCCCGCCATCCGCCAATAAACTCATCCTGGTATTTATTCCTTGTCCCCTCCTGCTTGGGAACACGCGGAGCCTGGGGCTTGTCCTCAGCGGGAATTTTGGGATGAGTGGCCTCTGAGGGATGAGGAGGGAAGTGCTGGAGTTGGAGTTTGGGGACAAGGAGGACGTGTCCTGCCGGGATCCCCAGGGATGAGGATCCCTAAGGCTGGGAAGACCCCGGGGACGAGGGTGCTCAGGGAGAAGGGTCCTGAGGGCCGGGAGGTCCCCAGGGATGAGAATCCACATGGATGAGAGTCTCCATGGCCAAAGGTCTGCAGGGATGCAGGTGAGGGTGACACCCACCGGTGTCCAGGGACACGCCCCATTCCCAGGAATGCCCCGCCCTTCCCAGAGACACACGGCACAGGGAGGCTTCTCCACACCTTTATTGTCCTCGGGAGCGGCAGGAGGGGCCGGGAACGGCGGGAAAAGGGACATCCCTGCCAGCCCCCAAGCCGGCAACCGTCGGGATCCCCCATCCCGGCTCAGGGCAGCCGGGACAGCCCCACCTTGTTGTTGGCCCTGTCGAAGACGACGTAGTATTCCCGGATAAACACATCCCCAAGGATCCAGAGCTCGCCCTCCTCCGTGGGGGCATCCATGCCTTGGAATCCCAGGCTGCAGACCCCGCCGCTCTGCTCCAAGCACACAGAACAGGGAGGTCACCGGCTGTGGGATCCCTGCCCCACGTCATTCCAGCCCCGTTCCCAGCAGGATGCTCACCTGTATCACGTAGGCTCTGGCCGGCACCGGGAATGCTTGGCCGTGGATATGGAATACAAGGTCGGGCAGTTTTCTGGCAGCCTGGCAGGTGATCTGGGGGGGACAGGGTGGGTCAGTGGCTATTCCAGCCAGGAAAAAACATCCTGGGAAGCGTCCCGGGGGCTCACCTCGCCGTTGGAGCGGGCGCCCAGGGCTCTCATGACGATCTGGAAGGCTCGGACGGGCATGGCCAGCAGGGATGTTCCCGTATCCACGATGGCCTGGCATCCCGAGGAACAGGCCGCTGCCACCCCGTTGATGGAGACGCTGGAAAAAGGGAGGCAGGGTGAGCTTCCCGAGGTTGGGATTCCCCAAAAACACCAGCTGCGGAGCTTCCCGGGAGTACCTGTCCATGGTGATCTGCCAGTAGGTCTCGGCGGAGAGCGGGATCCAGGAGATTCCTTTGGCGGTGTAAAAGGGATCGATGGCACCGAACAGGACAAAGCTTCCGGCTTGGCCGTCCCTGAAAAGCGGGATCCAGCCAGAGATTGCCCACCCTGCCATTCCCACTGGGAAACCAGCACCGGCAGGAGGGAAACGGGAGAACTCCTCGGCGGCTCCGGCCGGGATTTACCTGCTCAGGTAGACGGAGAAGAGATCCCGATCCACGAGCCTTTCCATCATCATGTTGTCAAAGACCGGGGTGGCTCCGGAGGAGGCGATGCTCGGGAATGCCAATCCCAGGATTCCATCAAAGGGGGTGTAGTAGAAGAAATCCCCCGGCTCCGTCTCCGCCAGCCCGAAAATCTGGTTCCGGACGTTGATCCCGGCGACCTGGGAAAGGGAGAGAGGTGTGGCTCGGGCCTCCCGGGATCCCGGATCCCATGGGATGGGAAGGATGGAGCGGCCCTACGTTGACGGTGTCGTATCCCAGGACTCCGGACATGCTTCCCGTGCCGTAGGCGATGAACAGGGTGTCGTTGGTGCTCAGGAAGGTGGAGGAATCCGCGGGATTGAAGCGGTTGTGGTTCCCTGAAAGGGTCGGGAGGGAGGGAATCACGGGAATGAGGCCATTGGGAATGAGGGTGGCACCTCAGTGTCCCTGGGAGAGGCTGATTCCCAGGGCAGAGCCATCCCTGGCTCCCAAGGCCTGGGGGGTTCCCCATCGTCCAAGAAGCCACAGGGCTGCCAGACATGCTCCGGACACCTGGAGACATTCCGGACACCTGGACATGCTCTGGATACCCGGAGATGTTCCAGACACCTGGACACGCTCTGGACACATTCCAGACACATTCCAGACACCTACTGCAGGCCGGGCTGGAGCAGAAGACAGAGGGAACCCAAAGGTTGGAAGAGCCGGTGTCGAAGACGACGGTGAATTCCTGGGCTGGAGTCCCAATGGAGATGGTGCCGAAGTACTCGTCCTGTCGGAGCGGGGTGGGAAAGGAAGAGTGGGATTGGGAAGGGGAGAGTGGGGTGGGAATAGTGGGATGAGGAAGGGGATGGTGAGAAGGAAATAGTGGGACAGGGAAGGGGATAGTGAGAAGGGAATAGTGGGGTGGGAATGGGGATAGTGGGAAGAGGGTAATGGGGTGGGAATGGGGATAGTGGGATAGGGAAGGGGAGAGCGGAATGGGGACAGTGGGATGGGGAAGTGGTTAGTGGGGAGGGGATAGTGGGATAGGGAAAGGGATAGTGGGACTGAGAAGGGGATAGTGGGAATGGGACAGTGGGACTGGGAAGGGGACAGTGGGATTGAAAAGAGGAGAGTGGGAATGGGATAGTGGGATGGGGATAATGGAGAGGGGATAGTGGGGTAGGGAAGGGAATAGTGGGAAGGGGGTAATGGGATGTGGAAGGGGTGAGTGGGACAGGAAAAAGGATAGTGGGATTGGAAAGGGGATATTGGCCCCCGTGCCCTCCCAGATCCCGATCCCATTCCCTCACATCCATGTAGTTCTGCAGGGGCTCCACAGCGATCCCAGGGAGGTACTTGGCAGCCAGGTTATAGGGATTCTGCTCCAGGAAACTTTCCAGCAATCCCTGCTCCCGCAGCCTCTCCCGCAGCGACTTCATCTTCCTCAGGGGTACCCTGCGGACACCGGGATCCGTCACTGGGATCATCCCACATCCCGCATCCTTTGGGACAGGGGCCCTTCCTGGCGCTCACCTGGTCCCCAGGCCCTGGGCCAGGACCACCAGGGAGAGGAGCAGGAGCAGCTTCATGGCGGGAGCTCCGGGAATGTGAGCCTCCGCTCCCGCTCCCGCTCCTTATATCCCGGCTCCCGTGTTTGGCCGGTGGCTCCGATAAGGAAAGCAAACGGTTCCCGGGAATCTTATCACAATGTCCTTAAGGAAGGTGGCCGGGAAAGGGGGGGAATGTCAAGCCCTTATTCCCAGGGGTGAGGTCGGGATGCTGGGATGGGAGGGAAGCGCTCCGGTGTCCCGAGGGAAGGCGCTGGGAGCCAGTGGGAATGTGGGGTTGGGTTTGTCCCCTGGATCGCCCCCAGCTCCCGGCTGGAGGGTTTGATCCCTGGATTGCAGCTCATCAGGGATGAGGCAGCCAAGGCTTTCCTGGGAGATCCGTTCCAGGGCCTCGTTACCCTCACAGGGAAGGATTCATTCCCAATATCCCACCTAAACCTGCCCTCTGGCACTGGGAAGCCATTCCCTGTGTCCTATCATTCCAGGCCCTTTTCCAAAGTCCCTCTCCAGCTTTCCTGGTGTTGCTTTAGGGGCTCCAAGGTCTCTCCAGAGCCTTTTCCTCCAGCCAATCCATTTGGGATTTTCAGGCTGCCAGCTCCAGATTTTCCATTCTGGGAATCAGCCAAGCCCTTCTCCTTCCAAAACCCCTCCAACATATCCCATCCTCCTTTTTTTCCCTCTAGGATAATCCGCTGCTTCATCCCTTTTCTCCCAACATCCCTCAGGGATCTTTATCCATTTCACTCTCCCCTATGGAATTCAGCCCCGATCCTCGGATTCTTTTGTTCTTCCGGGAACGGGGCTGATTCCAAGGGAAGAATTCCAGCTCTGGCCTTAGGGAGCCTTTGATCCTTTGATCTCCTCCAGGACAAGGTGACCGTTCCAGGATCCACATGGTGCCGTGAGGGAAGCCAAGATTCCCGGCCCAGCTCCAGTGACCTTCAGCATTCCAGTGGCATCTGGAGCCAGACCTTCCCCTGGCTGCTCCCACTTTGACCCCACAGCTGGTCCCAGTTCTGCAGCAGCGCCGGGAAAGGATGAGAGGGATGAAATCCCAGTGGAAGCAAGACATGGAAGTGTTGGAGCAAAGCCAGAGGAGGGCACGGAGGTGATCCGAGGGATGGGAAAGGCTGGGAGAGCTGGAATTGTCCAGCCTGGAGAAGAGAAGCTCCAGGGAAATCTTGGAGCCTCTTCCAGGGCCTCAAGGGGCTCCAGGAGAGCGGGAGAGGGATTTTGGGAATGGGAATGGAGCGACAGGACAAGGGGGAATGGCTCCAAACTGGAAAAGGGGTGATTTAAACAGGATATTGGGAATAAATCCTTCCCTGTGAGGGTGGTGAAGCACTGGAATGGATTTCCCAGGAAAGCTGTGGCTACCCCATCCCTGGAATTGCCGAATGCCAGGCTGGAGAAGGGCTTGGAGCAACCTGGACTAGTGGAAGGTGTCCCTGTAAATTTGGAGCTTCCAAGTTGTCCCTGGTTTTGGGCCAAAACAGGAGGGAAAACAAAAATATTCCCTTATCCCAGAGCTGTTTATCCATTTAATTCCCAGAGCTGCCATCCCAGGGGATCAGGGACTCCAGATTTTCCAATGGAAGGTTTTTGCCAGAAATGGGAAGTTTCAGGACAAGATGGTTGTAAATCCCATCCCTGGGAGGCAAAATCCTGCCGGATTTTTGGATGAATCCTTATCCCCAGCAGGAAGAAGTTGTGGGATTCAGGGACAGGGAGAAAATGGGAATTAATGTTCACCACTAATTATATCAGGAATAAAAAGGTGAGAGGATGGAAAAATAACCCCTTTGAGGGTGTGAAATGGCTTTTCCTCAGGGAGAAATCGGGATTTTTCCAGCCTCGGTGGGGAAATTCAGGGATCCTGGAATAGTCCATCCCGGAGCTGGGATTTTAGGTCGGGAGCAGGTGACCGAGGCCTCCCTGTCCCAGCTTTCCTTGGCACCAGAGGGCACCAAAGGATGGGAAGATCCCAAAAAAAACCCGGATCTGGATCCATTCCTGATTCAGGCAGGGATTCCTGGTCAAATCCTCCCTCCAAAAAATTTAGGTTTGTTCCCAGATAATCCTGGTTTTAACGTGGAAACGCCACTTGGGATGGATTTAACTCCCACGGGAATCACCCTCTGAATCAACATTTCGGGATTTTCCGGCTTTTGGGACATCAAAAGCACGGGAACTTCCTTAATTTTACCCCCCAAAAATCCCCTAACGGGGTCAGGGTTTATCTTGGAATGGATTCAGGAAGGAAACTTGTTTTCCAGGCCCTGTTCCCAGTTCTTCTTGTCCCTTTATCACCCCGGAGCTTTATCGGAACTGTCAGATGAAAGGAGGGAATTCTGAGGCTCCTGAGGAGGCAAATCTCTGGGATTTGCTTAAAAATATTGAATTAAGTTATCAAGGATCTTGGCATTCCCTGTGGGAATGGAATTCCACCGGACAGGGACCTCAGATAACCTTTTCCTACCTGGTTTTGGGTGGGATTAACACAAAATCCAAGGGAAAAAACCCAGGTGTAACCATCTTTTAGGGAAATTAGGGAGATTAATAAGAAAATAATGGGAATATCCCTTAAAAAGGAAAAATTATCCCATTTTTATTGCCGGATAACATATTTAAACGGATATTTTCCCATTTATTCCTTGCAAATCTGAATACAATTTAATTTATCCTTAATCCTTAAATTTTAATGTAAAAGAATCCCAGGTGGAACTATTTTAATGGGAATTAAGGATATTAATAAACAGGTAATGGGAATATCCTTCCAAAAACATGGAAATTAAGGATATTAATAAACTTTTAATGGGAATATCCTCCCCAAAACACCCCTTTATCCATTTTTTTTTATTGCTGGATAGCAATTAAATGGATATTTTCCCATTTATTCCACAAAAATCTTAATTTTTCCTCTCCCCAATCCATAATTTTTATATCAAATGTTAACTAAACATTTTCCAGCTTTTCCACGTGTTTGGAAAACTGCTCCAAACAAGCCTGGAAAGCTTTTCTTTCCCTTTGGAAAGTCGAGTCCCTTTGTTTTCCCATAACATTGGGAGTTTGACCTGTTTATCAGCCGCACTGGGAACAAGTTGTCCTTGATTCAACTGGAATTTTTTGGGATCATGTGACTCCCATTTATTCCACCACAAAGGCTCAGGTGACTTATGGGATCAGAGGTGCCTTTCCTGGATCCCAGAGGCACTTTGGGAACAACCTTCTACTGTTTTCTGAAGGAGCTGCTCTCCTCATTCCTTATCCCTGTCTGGGATTTGGGAATATGGAGTTAATTTGGGAAAAGTGGGGTTTGGATTCGTGTTTTGGGTGATGGGATTGGAGCTTCCATGTACATTCTAGGAAACATATCCCTGTTTCATGTCAGGAGGGGCTAATCCAGGTATTCCAAAGGGATTTGCTTTGATATCTTGGTTCCAGCCGGGAAAACCCGCCATTATAGGATTTTTTTGGGATGTTATCTGGGTTTTTGGGATGTTGCTGAGCTGTGTGTTTTTTTCCTAAACTACTTCCAATCGGGCCTTGGGCACTTCCAGGGCTGGGGCAGGCACAGCTTCCCTGGGAAATCCATCGCAGGGTTCTACCACCCTCACAGGACAGGATTTATTCCCAAAATCCCATGAAACCCCTTGCCGTGTCCATACAACCCCATTCCCTATTATGCTATGGCCCTTCTCCAAACCCCTTTCTCCACCTCTCTCAGCGCTCCTCCACCCCAAAACCACGAAGGATATAAATCCTAGAGCGGCTATGACCCGGCAGAAGCCCTCTGGGCATCCAAACATTGATTAATTAGGAAAAAAAATCCATTAAATTGCTCCCAAATCCCGCCCCCCCCAACATGGCGGCGCCGGGAGGAACCACCCGCGGCCTCCTGGCGGGGGGGCGCGTCCCCCCTCCCTGACGGCAATGGCCCCGCCCACTTCCGGTCCGCGCCGGAACCCGGAAGTAGCGACGGGCGGAGGGTCTACGGTGAGTCCGGGGCTGGGCCGGGAATGGAAATATCGGGAATACCGGGAATAACGGCGGCATTACGGCGCTAACGCGGCCGCTCCCGCTCGCTGCTGCCGTGCAGTCACCCAGCGCTTCGCCTCCACCCCTCTGAGCGCCGTTGGGCGCTTCCCAGAGCCAGTTCTTGAGTTTTCCCGCTCCCGGCATTCCCGTTTTTCCCGTTTAAACTCCATAAAATTTCGTTAAGAGACCAAAAAACTCCTGAATCGGGTGATTCCCTTGCGGGGGGAAAGCCCCGCGCCTGCAGCGTGGGACACAATTCCCTGTTTTCCCCTCAGACAGGTTTATCGGGATCATGAGTTGAGACATTCCTGAGGATCTTGCGACATTGCCGGCGTGAAATCCTTGGGATGCTCCACTTGGATAAGAGGTAGAAGAGCCGGGAGCCATCAGGACGGCGCAGGTTTGTAGGGTGTCCCTGGTTTTTTTATGGCATTCCCGCATTATCCCCTCCCAGCTCTTGGAATTTGCACCACAAACGCAGGATAATTCCTACATGTTATCGGAAAACCTGGAATATTTGGGATAAATCGCAGATATAATACTGGAAATCCAGGATTTTGTGTTATTTCACTGCTTTCCATGTCAGAGGGTGGAAGTGGATGATCCGTAAGATCTTTTCCATCTCTTTGGAAACAGTGGGATAGGAGCAGGTCCAGGTTTCATTGGAAGAACGGGAATCTTGGGTGGGATGGAGCCTGGAATGAGTCAGAATCTGGAAAATGGGGGAGAGATTCAGCTGGAATTTGCTGGTCGGGGCTGGGAGTGGGTTTTTCCTCGACAAAAGCCTCTGGGATGCACAAAATTCTTTCCAAACAGGCTGGGAAAAGCTGGGAAAAGTTGGGGAAAAGTCATTCCTGAAGGAGGAATTAGTGGGAATGTTGCTTTGCCCTCGCTGATTTCTTATAGAAGCTGCTCCAGGAGGTTTAACAAAGCTGGAGTTCAATCCCTAGGAGGCCAAACAGCTGGACTGGGGAATTTACCCGCCTCCTTTTCCGTGTCCCAGGAATCCGGGAGGATGGACATGCTCAGGAACCGGACGGTGGAGGAGCTCCGGGAGCTGCAGGAGGATTCCCAGGAAATCGAGCGCTTGGCTCTGGAATCGCAGGAGGTTGGTGGGGGGGTCACCCTGGGGTTCCCTTGTCCCGTTCCCGGCGTCACTTCCCGAATTCCGCAGGTGCAGGAGCTGCAGCTGGAACGGGAAATGGCCTTGGCTTCCAACCGGAGCTTGGCCGAGCAGAACCTGAAATTCCAGGCGCCGCTGGAATCGGGACGAAGTGACCTCTCCAAGAAATACCTGGAGCTGCAGGAACTGGCCGGGAGGTGCCGGGAGCAGAAGGAAAAGCTGGGTGAGCCCTGGGATCATCCTGGCTCGGGAACAAAGGATTCTGCTTCCCAGAAAGCCGAGATCCCACTTTTTTCCCAGGAGAGATCCTTTCGGGTTTTCCTCCTTCCCCGAGTGATTCCTGAGGCTGATCCTGTGGGATCTCTGCTGTTTTTTCCCGATGGTTGTGATTTTTCCGTGGTTTTTTTTTTCCTTCCATGGTTTTCCCAGAGAAATCCTCGGCAGCGCTGCAACCGCAGACTCTGCTGGAGCTGCTCCAGGTGGAAAGTCAGAAGATTGAGGAGGAATCTGAGGTGAGCTCGAGGCTTCAATCCCAGGGCTTCATCCTCAAAGACTCCCGGCTAACCCAAATCCCAAAAATCCTGGGTTATGCCTGGAATTTGCTGGTCTTTCCCCCCCCCCCAAAAATCAGATTGATCCTTGTTTGTGTGGAGTCCAGGAAAGACCGAAATCCCGAAGCGGGATGAGGGAAGAGGAGCCGAGGGATCCCGGGATGAAGCCGAGGCTGTTCCTCTCTTCTAGAAAATGGCGGAGAAATTCCTGGAGGGCGAAGTGCCCTTGGAGACGTTCCTGGAGCAGTTTGCCACCATGAGGAAATTGTCCCACCTGCGCCGGGTCCGCGTGGAAAAGCTGCAGGAGATCGTGAGGAAATCCGAGGGATCCCAGGAATCCGGCCAGGACTCGCAGGCTCCTCCTCCTCCTCCTCCTGCTCTCCCTCCTGCTCCTCACGTTCCTGGCTCCAGGGATCCTCCACAGCCCTTCCCAGCGGGATCTCCTCCCTTCCCCCTTCCCTACAGCCCGGCTCCCGCGCTCCCTCCCGGCCCCCCGGCCCATGGAGCGCTGCCTCCCGCACCTTTCCCGGCAGCTCCGGCTGCTTCCCAGCCCGGCTCCCAACCCTTTCCTTACCCAGCTCCCGGATATCCGTCGGCTCAGGCTCCCAGAGCTGCCTCCGGAGGCTATTCCTGGTCTCCATCCCGGGCCCCTCCGCAGCCGGCACCATATCCCGGTCCCAGTCCGTCTCCTCCTCCTCCCAGGCCGGGATACTCTCCCTACATCCCTCCCGGAGCGGGAAGGCCACCCTATCCCACCCAGCCCCCTCTCCCGAATTTCCCGATCCCGGCACAGCCTCCCTATCCCGGGGCTCCCCCACCCTTTGGATACCCGCCCCCTCCCAACCCTTCCCGTCCGGCTTGGCCTGGATACTAATCCAGGACTTTCCGGGAGCATCCTCTACTGCTTCCTTCTTTTTCTGGGGATTGAGGAACAGGTGGAATCCCAGGAATTCCATGGGATGAGAGTCACAGTTCCAGGAGTCAGAGCCAGGTGATTCCCAGCTGGATATAGCAGGAAGGAGCAGCCCCTCAGGGCTGGAATTCCGGAGAGGAGAAGGCTCCAGGGAGACCTTGGAACACCTTCCAGAGCCTAAGGGGGCTCCAAAAGAACTGGAAAAGGACTTGGATATAATGGGCTGGAATGATGGGATAAAGGGGAATGGCTTCCCGCTGCCAGAGGATGTGTTTAATGGGATATTGGGAAGAAGTTCCTCCCTGCGAGGTTGGTGAAGCACTGGAATGGATTTCCCAGGGAAGCTGTGGCTGCTCCATCCCTGGAAGTGTCCAAGGACAAGTTGGATGGGGCTTGGATCCGCCTGGATTAGTGGAACGTGGTTGGAATGAGATGATCCCTTCCCACCCAGCCACTCCAGGATTGTCTGGGAGTCGGTGATTCCCACCCAGCCTCTGGTATTCCCGACCTCCCGCGTGGTTTTCCGGGCTCCTCACATCCCCCTTCTCAGGAAACACTTGGAGACAGAGGGAACGACAAACACCGGGAATGGGATTTGCTTTGCTCAGCACTTTATCCTACGAGTCCCGCCCATATCCCTGGAAGTTATTTATAAGGAATGGTTACTAATGGACTAGGATGGGGCTTTGTGGGATTTCATGGAAGCAATTCCATCCCTGGGATTCATTACAGTAATAAAACTGCATTAATTAATTCCATACTGGAGTCACGGCCAGTATTTCGTTCGGGAATGACGGAGCATCCGCCCATGGGTTGATCCCTTTATCCCTTCCTGGCATCCCGACACCGGCTCCCTTTGGATTCCAGCCTTTCCTCCTCTCCCAGCACCATCTCCCAACCCATTTTTCCTGCTTTTCCCGGGCTTATCTTTCCTCAGCTTGGGGCTCTTCGGGGTAGAAAAACAGGGAAAAATGCCTTTCCCTGTTTTCCTGTCCTGCTTTTCCCTCCTGACCGGGAGTCTGGTGCTCTAAGGAATTGCTCTGGGATATAGGAAGGAAGAGGACAAGGTGTAATTAGTACAAAAATCCCAATTTTATTACAGTTGTTGGATATTAAATATCTTTGATTCCTTCCCAGTATTCCCACCCTCCCTGGACTTGCATTCCTTTCCTTTATCCATCGGTTTGGAGCCATGGAAAAGCCGACGATCCCTCTCCAAAAGGCCTCTTAAATCCATATAAGTACCTTAAGAACCCCCAGAACTCCTCTTTTTCTCCCTGGAACGCTGGGATCCCCCTGTGGCCGAGCCGGGAGACGGGAACGGCTCCTTTGGGAATCCTTTGGGAATCACACCCTGCGGGCGGAGCGCAGGTCGTAGTCGCTGTCCGAGGAGTTCTCCGGAGGGTTGGAATGTCGGAGCGCTCCTTCCAGGGCTGTGGAGGGGATGGATGGATGTGGCTTAGGGGGTGCCCGGTGGGTTCATCCCTGGAAGAGGAGCTGCTTCCAGCGTTTACCTGGATAAGCGGAGAGCTGGGAGCTCTTGGGCGGGACCGCGGCGTAGTCGTTGTCCCCTCCCTGTCCCCGAGGCCTCGGAGCGGCGGAGCCGGAGCGGTGGAAGGAGACTGGAACACAAGGTGGGATTGGGATCGGGATTGGGATTGGGATTTGGGGACTGGAAGGGCGGTTGGGAGGGAATGGACCCACCCCCGGGATGGGGCTGAGGGAAATCAGGTGAGTTGTATCCAACGCCAGGAATCCCAAATCCACCCCCAGGAGTCCCAGTCCCACTCCCAGGAATCCTAATCCACCACCAGGAACACAAATCCCACCCCCTGGAGCCCCAAATCCACCCCCAGGATTCCCAAATCCTTCCCCCGGAGCCCAAAATCTGCTCCCAGGTGCACAAATTCCACCCCCAGGAACACCAATCCCACCCCCAGGAATCCCGGATCCCAATCCCTGCCCCCTCACCCGTCTGGTTGAGGCCCGTGGGGCCGATCCATTGGCGCTGCTTTTTCTTGGAGACTGGAAGGCAGAGGTGGGGGGAGAGCGGGAATTGTCTCTCCAAGGATCTTCCTGATCCTTCCTCCAGCTGCTTCCCCCCTGCCAGCTCCATATGTCATCCCAAATAATCCCCTCCCACACCATAATTCCCCCTCGGGATCCTCCGGCTGCTCCTTTGTGTCCACTTGGAGCTTAATCCCCTTTCCCGCTCCCCTGCTTTGTGCCTATTCCACGTGGGATAGGCTTAGGGATAATGGGAGAGGTCTGGGGACAATGGGACAGGTCTGGGGACAATGGGACAGGTCTGGGAATAATGGGACAGGTTTGGGAACAGTGGGGCAGGCTTGGGGATAATGGGACAGGTGTGGGGATAATGGGACAGGTCTGTGGATAATGGGACAGGTTTGGGAATAATGGGACAGGCTTGGTGACAGTGGGACAGGCCTGGGAATAATGGGACAGGTGTGGGAACAATGGGACAGGTTTGGGGACAATGGGACAGGCTTGGGAATAATGGGACAGGCCTGGGAATAATGGG